GGCGAGGGGCGGGGCGAGGGGCGGGCCGGGCCGAAGTCGCGCCGGGACACGCGCGACCGCTGCGCGCGCACTACCGCCTAAGCACCCGCCCCCTGGGCTGGGGGCGCCAATCACAGGCTGGGACAGGAGCAGGAAGGGGAGTGGCCGCTGCGCGCGCACCGCCGTCTGAGCACCCGCCCCCTGGGCTGAGGGCCCAAGGCGGGGGTCCTGCGCGTGCACCCCAATCTCCTCCGGTTCGCTGCGCGACTCTGGGTGAAACCGCCAATCACTGGTAGGTGGTTCGCGCGGGCCAGGGTGCTCGGCGCGGCGGGCACAGGGTCACCACTGTGGTTATTGCGAGGGCCGCCTCCTGCCACTGTGTGGATGGGGGACCCCGACGTCTGCCGTGTCCCCTCCCCAGGTGCACAGACTTCAGACGGTGCCCGGGGCGTTTCTGGCCCTGGCCGAGAGCCCTTATGTTTGGTGGGCCTGGAGCCCCTCTGCACGCTGTCAGGTTCGCGCCGCACGCCGGGTCTCCCTGGTGGCCACCTTGCTTTGTCAGGTCAGAGCCCCAGCCTCCGATGTGCGTGGTTACCTGTGGTCGCCCCTGTTCACTGCCCCTCCTGCAGGGCGACCTCAGGCGGGACTGGATGCGCTTCGGGCCTATGGCAACACTAATACCGGAGCCAGGCAGATGAGAGATACAAGCTTTACTTTATCTGAAGTTTATAGCTTACAGTGCAAAGATTTTCCCCAGTTAGGCATAACCGTGGAATAGAGGTAGTTAGTAATGGCTTCCTGTCCCCCTAGTGATCATGCCTCCCAGCCGCGTGCCATGCCCAGTGCCCTTATTTCATTCGATATGAACGTGCCCACGCCTCCAGCTCCACCGGGCTAACGGCTGGAAACTGGACATTCATTTCCGCGGAAGACAAGCAGGCAGAAACAGGTCTGCAGACCCTTATCAGAGGGGATCAAGCGAATGCAATGGGGGAGGCACAGATGACAGCCTTGGGTCGTAGGGTAATAATGAGAAAGGAGTCCTGTGTCCTGCAGCGGGAAGGAAGAAAACATGCTAACAGAATTATCCTTTGCCCAGATTAACTCTGTTGTCCCAGGGGAAAGTTCACACTTGTTTTTGTGCGTGCTTGCTTTGCAGGTGATTAAGAAAAGTGAAGGTGATGAGCCACAGCTGCCACTTGGGAAACCTGATCAGGAACTGGGAAGTCTACATGACTGTCTGGAGCTCCCAGTGTCCCCCCCCCACCCCCAGCAGGGCACAGTCAGCTAAAGGTAGCCATCTGGCTAGAGTCTTTAAAAAAAATTTTTTTTTAAGATTTTATTGGGGAATTGGAGAAGGGGAACAGTGTTGGGGAACTGGGGGAGGGGAACATCTAAGTTGTCCTTCAGTCTTAGTTGTGGAGGGCACAGCTAGCTCAGCTCCAAGTCCAGTCACCATCCGGCTGCCCATCGCGGCAGCTCGCGGCCATGCAGCTCAAGGTGCCGTGTGCAGTCTTAGTTGTGGGTGGGTAGCCCACCATCCCATGTGGGAGTCAAACGGAAACCTTGTTGCTGAGAGCACACGCTCTAACCACTGAGCCATCCAGCCGCCCAATGGCAGCTCAGGGCAGCTTAGCTCAGGGTGCCATGTTCAATCTTAGTTGCAGGTGGGCATAGCCCACGATCCCATGCAGGAGTTGAACCGGCAACCTTATTGTTAGGAGCACGTGCTCTCACCAGCTGAGCCATCCTGCCACCTATTGGCAGCTCTGCGGCACCCAGCTTGGGCGCAGCTCACTGGCTCATGTGGGAATCGAACCAGCAACCCTGTTGCTCAGAAGTCGTGCTCTTAACCAACTGAGCCACTTGGCCGGCCCCTGGCTAGAGTCTTAAAACTCAAGAACAAACAAAATGAAAAGGTCTCTTCCAGTGAGATGGGGTATGGTCACCAGCCAGAGTGGGTTTAGGAGGGGGCAGGTATGGTTGAGGGGAGCCTTGGGGAGGAAGACACCCAGTGAATAGGGGGGATTTCATCTTAATGGTTTTCAAAGAAGCAACATGATTATACATGTGAAGGTAAGTATGGCGACAACCAGTAAGACCAATGCCTAAACCTGGCGAACTCAGGACCCACCAGGAAGCTCCTGACTACAGTCAGGCGGAGAGGTTAATGCCAGCCTTCGTGCACTCGCTGCATTTAGCCAAAGGGAGTAAAAACCACAGGCTCAACTGCAAGAGGGAAATACCAAGTGCTGCAGAGAAACCAAAGGAGCAGAGGCCAGAGAATGGCCCAGTGGCTTCATGAGTATTTGTGGAGAGGGGATTGTGTCATCTTTTCCAGTCCACTGGAAAAGCAGACTAGATTGCGCCAGCAGCAGGGGTTGGTCCTCCAATCGTTAACCCTCGGTCCAGTCTTCCTGCTGGCTGCCATCACCCCTGCCTGGTCGCAAGTATCAACCCAGCGTTTATCGACAACACTTCGCAGGAAGTTGGCATAAGTGGAGCCATTTTAAAATGGAGTCAGAGCAGCTGTTGCAGAGGAGCTGCCTTGCACAGCTTGGTCCTTGAACCTTTGGAACATTTGAACGGGGCAAAATAGCCTTTGGATGGGGCCAGAGCAGCATTGCCTTCCAAACAACCGTTTGTAAAGGTACCAGGAAAGCAGACCTCCTGAACGCGGGCCTGCCTGCCGATTGAGGACAGTCTTTAGAATCAGTAAACAGCCACATGTAGCTAAAGAATAACTCAGCTTACACAAATTCCAACACAGATTCCTTCTAGTCATGTCCTATTTCCCTTCCTTTTCTCATAAAAACCCATGACTGCAACCCCATAATCAGAACACTGGGCTTCTGACTGAATCAGTGCTTCCTGAATAACTAATCTCTGATCTCAAATAAACATTCGTTGCCTCTCACTTTGGCTTTTTATTTTCAGGTTAACATAAACCTCAAAAACTTATATTTGTCTATGTTCTTTTATTATAAATCACCTAAACTTTTTTTTTTTTTTTTTTTTAAGCTGAGCCATCCCGCCACCTGTTGGCAGCTCCGCGGCTGCTCAGCTCGGGCTGACTCGAACCACTNCGGCTGCTCAGCTCGGGCTGACTCGAACCACTGTTGCTCAGAGCTCAAACTCTTGAGCGAGCTCTTAACCAACTGAGCCACTCAGCCGGCCCTAAATCACCTAAACTTTTATATAAACCACTAGAAACTCTCCCTTATGTCTTCCCAAGGTGATTGAAACTTTTTAAGATAACTAGATAACTGGAACATTGCTTGGACCCAAGCCATGAACTTGAAGGTGTTTGGGTCAAAAAAGAAAATAAAAAGACTCGGATCACATCACATCTGCACAAACACCCTAGCTCTGTATTTTTGTCTAATGTGTATATTCTTTTTAAGCCCCAAAGGGAATGTATTACGCCATTATCCTATGTAAATTAATACAATTTAATTAATGTGTTTTAAGATTTATTTTACAAAGCTTTCAATAACATTTTCAATAATATTGTTTAGGATGACCATATATAGTATGCTTTACTAAGATAACTTTCTTTTTCATAAAACAATAAAAGCTGGTAGCTCAACATAC